CGTAGAGGCCTTGTTTGCATTTGAAAAAAAAGATGAGATCCTTTATTTCAAGCCAGTAAGATATAGGCAATAAATTAAGTTTCCTAAGACGCTCAAGATAAGACAACTCATAATCTTGAAGTATAAATTTAGTAGCTCGTCTCTGAATTTTGCACTATTTTTCCAACTTTGAGCTAGAATAACGACAAACTGACCAGTAAATTAAATATAACCGTTTAATGATCTATATTTGAGTTTTTTCTAAGCTTTCCAATAATGTTTCGGTTACATTTGCCTAAAAATGATTTCAAAATTTGAACATTCTGTCTACTGACAATGGTTTTCAATAGGTGGAAGTAAGAAAAACTCGATTTTCACCATGGTCCACCGAAGGGATTTTTAGTATGTTAATCGGGACACCTTCCCTCACATTTTACCACTGAAAAAAATTCTATTGCAATTTCTCTGACCTTTGGTCACAGATTGACTCGACTAAAAACTGCATGTCCAAAGTCGCGAACAGATTCGAAAAAATGTTTGGGCCATTGTCGTCATAAGGGACCGGTCATAAAGTATGTGTATTGGGGGGGGGGGTGGAGGGTATTTCAAAATTCTACCATAAAATTTGGCACCCTCCCCCCCAAAAAAGCATTGGAAAATATTTAATACCCCCCCGCCTTCAAAGGAGATGAAATGTTTCGTACCCTGCATACAACCCCCCCCCCGCACCCAACCAATCACCCTCTCCCCAAAAACATAAAATTCTAAGAACATAACTGTTTTGCAAATTATTGCAATCCATTGTCTGTATTGAAATATTTAACGTAGTTAATAAATAGAGAGTGTTGAACATGATATCTCATGCGTGAGCGCAGTGAACAAGTGAGATATCATGTTGAACACAAGAAATAAATCTGGTAATTCCAAGCACCCATGTATTTTTCTGTTTATTATATAAAGGACAGTCTTTGAAAAGCGATAATTTTCATAAGAGAACGGGACTGATGTTTTCCGGTGGGAGGGGGGGGGGGAGTTAAGTTTGCCCAAATTTTTATGGAGAATTGTAATGAAATAACCAGATTTTAACATATTTTCTGATTAATGTGCCCGAATTTTCTTGATTTTTCCTAGCAATTGTCCGAATTTCCATGGTTTTTCATGGATTTTCAGGGTTTTTCCCCTGCCCCCTGTTTCGTACGCCTATGATAATCTTTACAGAAAAGCGATAATTGAAAAGCGATAATTTTTACATGATTGTGTCATAATTATAATCTCCCATGTGAGATTATCACTTTTATCAGTGCTCGCCATGTCTATAAAGCACAATACAGTTCATATTAATAATACTATTTATATGCCCTTGGTGAAAATCTGGGTCAGATCTAGAAAAAAGTACTAATTTTTATACAAAAACGGTACCAATTCATTAGTTAATTAAAAAATTGTGAAACAAGCAAATTACTCACGAAATTATTTGCTCTCCAGTTAGGGGCGGACCATTGGAAATCCCGGGAGGGGAGTAAAAAATTTTTGCGGCACGATTTTTTTTC